CGAATGATTAAATGATCGAGTGGCCGAATGACAAATGAGACACCTGGCTGTACGTAACATCTGATCCGTCCGTCATCGATCCGTTCGATCGCCATCGTCTTCTCTGATCTATCCGCGAATCGAAAGACAAAGCGGTGGGTACGCGTCGCTCACGCTTCGGCCAAAGCGGAATTTGCAGAATGACGCTTATGCGCCCACTAAAGTGCATTCGCCTAGGACCAGCGGAGCCCGAGGGAAGGACTCCTCCGACCGTAGAATCCTAAGGAGTCGAAGGAGCAAAGAAGCGGGGAACGGACCAGACTGACACCCTCCGGGCATTCTCCGGCATAGAATCCGTCCCGCGCTCTCCCCCTACCCGCCCGCTCCCCTCCTCTTCACCCTCCTCGCATCGTATCAAAGGCGACCCGAGGGGAAGGAATGAGAGGAAGATCGCCGATCGTTGCCCGTATGCCTCGAACGACCGTTTAAAACTCCATTACGACCGTTCGTGATCCTCGCGATCACGGGGTACGCTCCTCCACGCCGTGGAAGGCTCTACGTGAGCTGGAAAAGGGTCCGACCGATTACTCAACGTGACACGTTCCCGAAGCTATGGGGGAGGAAGAGCCGCCTTCAAACGTCGAGGAATTGACGCCTGTCGAGTCTGCGGGATCTCGCGGGCCCGCGATCGCCGAGCGCGCGCGCACTACGTATCACACACTTTTCTCCTCGACGAGTGCGCGGAAATATGCTCGACGAATGAACATCGGTGTTCGGAATTATTGAGGAGATGACTCAATGAGAGGACTCATTAAGTCTCTCAACTGTAACCACTAATGAACCATATGAACGTAAATAAATAATTCATCAGACGTATCGATAAGCAAGACAGAAAGAAGAGATCGGGAATACTATTTCTTACACGCTTATCGACAACTGTCAGAACGATAGACGTCGTTGCGCAGCTTTTCTATGATATAAAAAAGCTGCGCAACGACGTCTACCGATCCGACAGTTGTCGGTAAGTGTGTACGGAATAGCATCCAGCGTCGCGCCGAACTGCTCGGTGCAACTTCGACAGTCGTAAAGGTTGCCGAAAATAATCGTGTAGCATTAACATCGACGGAGACGATGAGGAGTGCGAGAGCCAAACGAGAAGAGCTTCTCCTTCGACTCGCAAAGTTTACGAAACAGTTTACGATCGGCGTCTTTTTCTCGTGCACGCGTGCGACATAAATTGCACTTTGCTGCGCTCGAGGAAGAAAAAGGGAAGAGAGAAAAATGCGGGATACATTAATAAAAATCCCGTAGCGCACGAAGCGAGAAAGAGCGAGAAAGAGAGAGAGAGAGAGAGAGAGAGAGAGAGACATGACCTTCAAAAATTAATTCAGCAGATAAATCACGCCTGCTGCGCCGCGATACTTTATGAAGACATTCAGGTGGGCACACGAGACGACGCGCCAGCGGACGCGCACCAAGTGGTTGAAGTTAAAACGGTCTACCCCGTATACGTATCAGTGGCTAGCCTTCGCACACGTTCGCCTTGAGTCGCCGGCGAAACCTCGCGAAGTTAGCGCGCGCGCTGCATTTGGAAGCATTCGCGACGCGACGCGCCGTTCGCGCGAGCGATCCATTCCGAGGTTAACAAGGTTGCGGAAGACGCGCGCGGGCTCGGAACTCTCGGGGGAAGACTCTCGTACGGCGGGATTTTAGTTTTCCGCTTCTGCGCAATCAGCCGGACCGTTCCGTCTCTGTCGGCTTAACGGCCGACTACCCTAGGCGCGTCTTCCCTGTTGATGCATCGGATGCGCCGCGTGCAAGTCCGTAGTGCGGCCGCGACTCAGCAGCAACCCCTTCGCGACTCGCGCGGCTGCACACACGCGTGTACACGCGCGCGTACATATACACACACGTGCGCACACACACACACACACACACGCGCGCGCGCGAAACACCGGAGCGCGTGCTTGCGAGTAAGGAAAAAAAACAGCAGAAGCACCTGGAGCATGCGAGATCGTCGCGAGCGGATTAAGGGCTTACCCGATTGGCGCAGATTGCCTTAATTTCTCAAACGACGCGAACCGCCGGCCGGCCGCGTCGCAAAGAACGAAGAAGTTCCTCCACTCCCCTTCCCCCTCGCCCAGCCTCCTCCATGCCCTGCGGGTGCTCGACTTACCCGACGTGAGAGACATACTGTACTGTTCGCGATCAAAGCCGCGACCCTCTCGCGACCCGAGAAGTCTTCGATCCGGAGATCCCATCGTTCGCGAAAAATTAGATGCTCGACCACTGGCGATGTGTCTCGCAGAAAACGGTTCGTGCATCGCCGACGGAAATAGATTGCACCCGTTTGTGTAGACATCGCGATATTACGAGTACGCGGGGCGAACGAACGCTAAGAGAGTATTCTCGGTAGCGCGCGGAGCGCCGGAAACCTTTTCTTCCTTTTTTATATCGTGCTCTTTTTTTCTTGTCTGCGCCTTCCACATTGCCTAGTTTTCGCGAGTTCTCGCTCTGCTCACATGCAGTTTTTCTCGCGGCCGATCGAGCCGGCCGAAAACCCAACGGAACAACAGCGGAACTGCATTTCTACGTGAGTGCTGCCAATCTTAATTCCATTAACGCACGCGAGCTCGATTAAAAGTAACGAAACTTTCGGAGCATCCATCATCAATTCAAACTCAACCACTCCGGCCGCATCAATGTAACGTTAAAGCATCACGGCAAACGACTTGAAGAGCAAACATTAAAAAAGTATCTTTATTACGCCAGGCAGTGCAATAGAAGTGTGTTATATAATTAGAAAATTGCACTATTAGTGTCTCGCGTCGGAATTCCGCGGTAACTGTTGCGAAGAATCGGAAAGGAATGAAATTGCATTCGAGTTAGATCGGATTATACATGAGACGATATCGAAATAATATCCTCGAAATGATGTCACGAGGCGAGTAAACGTCTCGTTCAAGTGATCAGTTTGTAACGAGAGCGCGTGTGCGTAAGCAGATGGGAGTTTTCATTTGATTGAAGTTTCCTCGAATGTTAGACGCACTATACGTACGCCTAGAAAAACTAAATTGGCGTGAGACGGAAAGCATCGTAGGATGGGACGTCGTACACTTTGATGCGAAGGAAAAATAGCTCGATACACGTGCTTTCAGAACAAATAAACACGCGACCATGCATCTTATTTCGACCATCATTGTTAGTGTACAATCGTGTATCTCTTTCTCTCTCTCTCTCTCTCTCTCTCTCCTCCTTTCTTCCTTTCTAGTCTGGCAAATCGCAAATGATCGTTCGCGAGCTTTTGCTACCTAATATGCTCCGCGTATACATGGAGAACAACATTCCGCAGCGACCTGTGCACCTGCAATTTCGTCGGCCATCAGTCGCAACATTACGAACGTAACGACCTTTCACGATGCGCATCTATTGTAGCCTACTGAAAATCATCTAGTATATTGGATATTATCTCTCTTTGCGATAAAGGAACGGCTTTAATCGCAAAATGATTCCGTCCCCATATCGTTTCAACAATCAAAATTTTTTCTCTCTCTCTTGAAAGAAAAGTAGAAAGGAGCAAAATTTTTAATTAGAGAAATTAAATTGAAATTATTTTGTATACGTACACCCAAGAAAATTTAAATTTTTCATACATATCAAAATATAATTTCATTCTTAGCAGAATTTTTTTATATATGATTATAAGAAAATTCTTCTGGAACTAAAAGGAAATTATTCTAAACGCAATATTATTTCTCTTCAATAGAAGACGCATATTTTTTAGAACGTAGAAGTTTCTCCTGATAGAATATGGGATTATAGGAAATAGTATTTTGCAACCGGAGTTCTCTTTGTTGGATATTAGAATATCGTCCTTTTAGTTTTAAAAGAATCCTTTCGAGATCATATATAAAATGTCCTTGCCAAGAGTGAAAGTATATTTTTTTATGTGTGATTTTTATGTGTACCTATCGCGAATAAATCTGTTAATTAGATTTTCTTTTTATATAAAGATATATACTTAGAATAATATTAAAAATTAATAGTGCATTTTTGTGATTGCACCATCGTTTTAACTCGAGAATCAATCGTTATCTTACTACAATTTAGTTAATATCGAGTGAGTCGAGAAAACAATGTTGTACAATGAGACACTCGGTAGCGAGACGCGAGCAAAATTAATTGTCTTCTGAGAAATCAATAACAAAAGTTTGTGATAATAGACCAAGCATATAATGCGATTAATAATGCGAATCCAAGCGCGCTCGTAAAACGCGCTTATGCTCCTCTCGCGCGAAGACGCTTAGTTGAATGAGCTGGAATATAAATTGGTCGTCGACATTAAGTTTACGAGCGAACGCACAACTTTACGTGCGAACAGTCGACGTCGTTCCTATTAGCACGGCATTCAGACGCGTGAATTATAGGTATATGCGTCTGGAACCGCGATACTTTAGCGTGAACGCCTTTCCCAAGCTAATCCTATAGTCCGTTTTCACGTCACTCTGATAATTCCTTGAGAGCGTGTAAAGAACTCATACGAATCGTTCCAGCTTTCATGTTAAAAATTTGCAATATCGACACTTCCTCGCAACACCTGCAAAATTTCTCGTCGTCACGATACGACCGTTCGGATCACACCAAAGAGAACGACTCGAGAGTCTGAATCCGCGATTCATAGAGCATGTTTACACCGCTTATTTAACATACGTATCAAATAGTAATTTTATAAATTATTTTATGGCCATTTCATTGACGCGTGTAAACAATGGTGTATTAAATTGGTACGATACGTTTTCGCAAAGCGTAACGTACCGTATCCTTACTCCATCATTCGCATGTGCATCGCCGAAATTCCGATAATTTAATGGAAAGCGAAAGCAACACACTGACGAAAGGACGAAACGTCCTAGATCCGCGCGCACAACGCCAGCCTTACTCCTCCACTTGCAAGTCGCGGAGCAAACACCGGTCGTTCTCGCGTACCGAACGTCGTATCGATTTAACGGGCTCGCACCGACCTCTTTCCGTTCCGACGCCGTCTCTTGGTGGCGTAGACGGTCCCCAGCTGGCTCATGGCGACGGGGTTATTGGGGCCCGACGCCGACGTCGGTGTCGGCACCGGTGCCGAGGTGGGCGTCATCGCGGTATCAACGACGTGGGGCTGAGGGTGAGTGGCGGTCAGGGCGAGCTGCGATCCCGTGGGATAGCATGCCGCCGTCACGTAATCCGTCGGCGCGAGAGACGCGTTCGGCGGTCCACAAATCCCGGCGACCACCCCAGGTGCACCGCCGCCACCGGCACCACCACCGCCGGTGCCGCCGCCGCCACCGCCAGCACCGTTGCCGCCGCCGCCGCCGCCGCCGCCGCCGCCGCCGACGCCGCCGCCTCCGCCGCCGCCGCCACCACCGCCGCCACCGACACCGACGACACCACCCCCGACCACCCCCAGCCCCGCCGAGGCGGCTCTGTCCAGCGCGTACACCGTGCAGACCGTGACGCCCCTTGCCTCTAGCGACGACGCTACGTCATCCTCTGTCACCGTCGGTGCCACTACCACCAGCTGCTGGCGTCGGTCAGCACTTGCTCCTGATGACACCGTACGCGCGGCCGATTACGACGCGGCAGCTGCGACAGCTGTTGCCGCTGCAAATTCGCCCTGCCGAGCGGCGTCGGACCGACCACCACCGGGCAGGCGGTGTCCACCGTGGACACCGAGGACCTCTCGACGTGGTGAATGGGTGCCTCAGACTTTTGGCGCACGTGTGATCGCTCGACGTAACGGTGATAGCGAGTCAAGCACTTGGCTATCGCTGGATCACGAACAGAGGCGCGGATTGTTGAACCGTATGAGACTGCTTCAGAGTCCAGCTCGAGCGATACGTTCTATCCCCTTAGATTTCGCGGAACATCGCGAACACCTGGCGTCGTCAGGAAAGCCTCGGTCCGACTCGGCCGTCGACTCGTCGTCGATATTGTTTCCAACATTAACGTGAAACTCGCGGTGCACTGTACGGCGAACGAGATCATCTTTCGCGCTCCACGTCGCTCTCATCTACGAAACCAGTCACTGTCACTGGTGAATCGCGACGCGGCGCGATCCACTCGATCACGAGCGCCAGTCATTCACCGCTTCTCCGGCTTGACAGTCCAGTCGAGTCGGAGCCAGCGGTTTATCACGGTCAAAACACTGTGGAGAACGTCACCAACGTTCAACGATCAACGACGTGGGTCACACGGTCCCACGGCCGAGTCGACACTTGGACAATGGCGTGCAAACACCTTTGACCCAAAACGAGGCATTCACCTCATTCTCGGTTTCGCTTTATCCCGTGAAGAATCCGTGTGTTATCTCATCCTCACTGCAGATCCACGTCAGTTTCACTCTCACTGCTCGGTCTAACACCAGCACCCTGCACCCTCTCGGCGATCGGTACCACTCGGTACTATTGTCATCCGGTTGCGCGGTAGTCACGTGACACGCTATCTCGGTGTACACCCGAGACATCTAACTCGGAGGCCACTATAGCGGGGCTACCGAGGAGGATGCTTATCACTCCGGAGACTTTTCGCGGTCCGGTCACGTCACGTGTGCGCGTTCAAAACTAACCCGCACGTCCCTCTCTCGCGTGAACGATCACTCCCCCCTTTCTCGGGATCGGTCCCTCCCTTCCGGTTTGTCGCGAACGGGAGAAAGAAGGTCTCTTCCCCTTCCCGGGCTCTTCTTCCTTTACCCTCGCGGTCCGTCGGGGTGAGTCGACTACGCGCACCACCGGAACCGGCTCAGTCGCAAATCGTCCAAGGTCCGTCGATCTAAGATCTATTCGCGCTACGCTCAATGACGCTGCAAGGACCTAACGAACGCGAAACACGAGGTAGATAGTTGGGTAAGCAGACAGACAGGTAGGTGGCAGAAGCCTCGTGTCGGCAGGCGCGGTAGCGAAGCGAGCGCGGACGATGCGGTGCTCGCTTCGTAGAAGCGTATCGTGTACTGGCGGACCTGCCGGGCGTAGCATAAGTCAGGAGAGCGTGGCATAGATCGGAGAGTGGAGGCGCAGGCCAGTGGTGGTGGGCCCAGCAGAGGAGTAACCTTCATGGGTCGACCAGGAGACCGGCCGCTGGCTTCTACCCACCGTGACGCAGGGTCACCACTCTGACCCCCACCCGCACCTCTCGCCACGCCTACAAGTAGGCCAAAAGGACCAATCACGGTGCCAGCATGGCGCTACCGACCTTAACACCGCGGAACCATCGGCTCAACGATACCATCGCGCGCGCCTCGAGATTCCACCTACTCCCGATGTGCTCTTCCTTCTTCCTCTACGTCCGCGTTCTCCTTGCCACGCCGGGAGTTCGCAATACCTGTATGTATCTGTTCTGGCAGACGCACCGATGGAAACGCGCGAAACGATCGACCGCGTCCGTCAAGCTCAAGAGAAGTAGGTGACGTTCTATTCCTATGATTAAGTGATGACAATGACGGTAAAGTCGTAGAATCAGGGGAACCTTTATTCTAATTCTGTATCTACCCAAATGTATCTATCCAAATTGTCTCTCAAATTACATCCAAACTATTTTTTCAATAAGTCCCTATAAACATATAAAATAGACTGCGCATTGATGAAGTCAGCACTAATAAGAGAGAGTAATAGAGAGTAAAAAAGTTTTCTTTGTTAGTAGTATAGATGGGGAAAAAAAAGAAGAGAAGCTATCAATGAATCTTCTCTTCTTTCACTGTGTCTTTTTTGTTTCTCCCCCATTACCCTTTCCTAAAGTATTGTGTGACAGAGAAAGCATTTGACTCAGCAAATCTCTGTCCTCCAGTCTTGTCATCCCGTAAGAGTGCTCAGTTTATTCTACAAATCTATGATCTACCCAAATATACACGGAACAGAAAGAGATGGTGTACATAACTAGAAATACTTAGTTGTGAACAGCATAGTTTCATCACTCTACTTATCTTTATGTAATATGTATGTGGTTGATATGACTCGGTTTGGTACATCAGGTACCTGAATACCTCTAGTAACACAGTATATTGGTGTTGCATTGGCCCAATATTGGTTACGTTGGCATACATCGTGCCAATACAGCCAACATATAGCCCAATATTGATTATAAATAAAATGTAGACAAATTGCCAGTATTACACAACATGGTAGTACCAATATTGGCATATCCATATTGGCATTGTTGGGGATATATTGAGCCAATATAACCTACTATGTAGCCAATATTAGTATCAAATGAATTGCTAATTTTCGAAATTCTGTATTAGTTATGAAATGCGTTTACTTTGCAATGCTAGATCAACATAGGTTAACTTAAGTATATTGGAGTCCAATTTGTAACCGATATTGCTCCAATGACCTATGCTACTAAAGTATAGTTGCGCGTATCTGATTCTGGCATCTAAAAATCAGTTGGGTGACATTTACTATGAATACATTCTGGTTGAAATCACACCAATAAATATTATCACTGCTGCAACGCCAGTAATTAGGCAATTGCTCTGTCGTTGCAGCACAATCACATAAGTAATAATTCCATATTTTACTATTAAATCTGATTGGCGCAACCAGATTTATGTATGAGCCAACTATATTCTTCTTTTCGTATATCTCAAATGTATAACGAATTCATTCTATCTGTCTACCAAAATGAATGCGATTTCAGGAGGATCCAATCTATCCAAACTTTTCAATCGTGCATCCAGGCGCACAATACACTACTTCCGAACGAACACAACATGACGGACGCCAATCGACCGCACATGTTTTGTAATCTAATTCGCGGGTCACAAAATACATAAATTACCGGTCGCACGATAAGACAGACCGGAACAATAATGTTTTGCGATCGTTACCGATTCCCGCGTCACGATCCACCCTGACGGATGACGCGTACGTACACATACGTACAGGCGTCACAATCCCTCTTATCTGAAGAACCTACTCTTCGTGAACGCTATCTGATCGCGAGACATGAGCGATATCACCGTAGCCAGAAACAACGGCAGTTACAGCGGCTACTGACATCGACTGTATTGTGACGTTACGATCGGAGAAGGATCAACGGCCTCGCGGACGGGATTCCGCGACGAAGGGGATTCCTGCTGCATACATCGTAAGCCGATATCGTCGAGGCAAATATACGCCGAAAACGGGTTTGCCGGTGATCGAAACGCTTGGGCGACACGCAACACATCGCGGTTGTTGGCGATACAGCGCGTTATCAGCGACGATACATCGAACACCGGTAGTGCTCGGATGTTATTGCTGTGATGCCGTGGACTCTTATTTTCCCCGCAATTCGGGAGATATAGGAAGGAAACTAACCCGACACCATTCATCATATCGAGGATATATTTTACGAAAATTCAATGAAATCCGGCTTGTCGTTCCGAGAAATGACGAGGACTATAGTGATAAGGTACAAAAATCACCAATGCCTGGATTCTAATACCCAACTCTGAACATTCTTATTGTTTTAATTTAAATACGAATATTTAAACGTTTAATGTAGAGAGAATATATACATATATACAGAAGTTTAAATATTCGTATTTGAAAATCAGAATAATAAGAATGTGCAGACTTAGGTGCCAGCGCGTTATTAATGTTCAGAAATTAATATTTTTATCTTTTCTCTTAACAAAACGTAAATCACTTTGCTCTCTCATATATGGTTTTGCCCTTATGAGAGGTACCGCATTTTTTACCCGTGCCTGGGCCGACGGATGGCGCGAATTCAGAAACCACGAGCCGCCGCTTACGTGGCGTAGCTCGTCAAGACTGATCCCATTATATAATATAGTATAATGTACAAATCATTCTCGCTTGAATCAGAGAATAGCTATCTTCAAAGATGACGAACAATCAATTGCAGAATTTTCATACCTTTCATTATGCATTGTTATGCACGTGACACGACAGTGACGATTCATTTTGTATTTTAACAGCGAATTAAGTCGAATATAAGTTATCCGCAGCTACGTAACTTTCAATTAGTGCTCTCTGTTTTTTTATCATTCTTTTACTAAAAAAATTTATACGAATAATTGAGTCGTTTATTTTAAAAATCATGTAAACCCATTTTTTGGTAGACATGTATTGTCCCGAAAAGAATTTACCAGAATTTATTTATTATTAAAAGAAAGATATAATTTTCTAAAAGATCAGCACCAAAATCCAAATAACGGAAGACAATCTCCTAAAATATAATTTTATAACCGAAATTTTATAACCGAAAATATAACCGAAATATTTGAATTGTCTCGTTGCACAATCCGTGTATTAATATCCACTCATTTGAGCACAA